TGTTTTTGTTTGTATGTTTTGTTTTGTTTTGTTTTTTCATTATTCCACATGTCTTTAAGGTCTTTGAATCCGATTGTTGGGAAACATCTCAGCAATCATTTAGTCCAACTCTCCATCTAGGATTTTCTATTTTATTTCAAAACATTTCTCTAGATAGCATATAATTATGCCTACTCCCAACAACAATGCTCTAGTATTTCATGTGACATAACACAAGACTATATAAGCATAATAATTTCCAAAACGTAGGACATTCATAGTTAGAAAAATCATACTTGTCTTAATTTTTAACCTGTACTTAGGATAAAGGTCACTGTTGTTGTTGTTGTTGTTGTTGTTATGTGCCGTGGAGTTGGACCCAACTTATAGTGACCCCTGCTTGGGTTTCCAAGGCAGTATCACTGAAGAAGTAGATTGCCCCACAGGTCATAGTGGTAACAAATTAAAAGCAGTAATAATATTTTTACTTCTATCATGCTAGAGGATTTGTATAAATCCCATTTTTCTAGCCTAACAATTTTCTTGCTAGGCTAATTTTTAAAACAATAGAAAAATATTGTATCTTGGGAATGTTGATGAAGCAACTTTAGTCCACAATCACAAGCATAATGGAAAAATCAATTGTAATTATTTGTGAGGTGTGTGATTTTCCAATTAATTAATAAATCTGTCAGCTAAATGGAAAAAATGGCATCTCTCCACTGTTGTTTATCACTATTGTTCTATAACTATGGCTCAAGCTGTGGTTTATAGCTGTCCCTCTACTCCTCTGTCACACACGTTCAATAGCACAAAGGAGAGGAAGGAGGTGGAACCTGCAGGGTAAACAGAGAGGAGGTGGATCCGTGGTGAGTCAGCACGCTCACTCTGCCCTCTCTGTGTCAGTTCTGCTTAACTCCTTGTCATGGTGCCTGGGATTTTGCTGAACTGTTTGGCAGTTTTACAACCATCGCAACTCTGTCTAACCTTTGGTTCATCAGTGCAGTCTGCTCAGCCTAAAGGGAAAAAGCCACAAGCTTTCAAATCAGGAGTTGCCCAGCTGCCAAAAATCTACTGGCTTGGAGAAAGCAGAAGAGGAATAGAGTCACTGATGATACAGATGACTGTTAGTCAGAGAGATCATCATGCCACAGAGAATGGCATCAAGCTCGGTCTCCTGAGCTAACTGAGGAACACGAATGTATCCACCTCACTGTGCTCCTGCTAGCAGATTTAACCCTAGTGCTGAAGGCAATCACTTAGTGCCAGAGCTATGTCTGAAGGAAAGGATAATATATACTAGTTGTGGAAGGAGGATTGGCAACCTACTTCTGTAGAGATACCATAGATAGGAGGGGTCCCTATGAGTCGAATCGACTCAATGGCAGTGAGTTTTGTTTTTGTATATACTGATTGAGTCTGAGTTATTTTTCTTTCTTCACTGTGACTGAGAAAACCATGATTTAATGAGATTTCAGTGTTCTTAAAAAATCATTAGAGGTGAGACTAGAAGAACTAGATGGTGCCTGACTACAACTACAAACATTCAGATCAGGACCATAATAGATGGACCCTGATAAATTGGAAGAAAAATGCAGAA